TGTTTCACTTTTCATATTCATAAGAAACAGAAGACTATACTAAGACAAACCTTCTTCCAAGTTGTAGTGCTTTATCATTTTTGGATTCCTTTAAGTACCTTCAAACAGAGATCATCGAATAGTTTGCTTAACTTACTAACATTCTATATTAATAATATATATATAACGTGTTTATGTACTAAAATACCTCGTATGTAAAAAAAAATACTTCGATGGGATTAAATTGTCTTATAACAACTTTACCTTTAATAACGATAATGATTCAAAAAGACGATTTTTCTTTATTAAAATGTACGTACTTCCCCTGTTTGCCTACTTCTCTATCTATATGTGTATTTATTTATATATCAGACCTGTCTCCCATTTCTTATTTTCCAACAGTCTCAACAGAGAAGAGATTTTAAATTTTTTTTATGTAATTTACGAATTTAATATATTTAAGTTAGGGAATCATATAAATTATTATCCTTACTCTTTTCACTACTACCATAAGTTCAATGTGATAAGCCAACAAGGCTTGGTAGAGTTGCCTAGTTTTATAACTTTTTCAATGACTAAGGATCTGGTATTAAAAATTTTTATAAGATCTATACCATATTTTACTAGAGGATAAAACTGGGATAAATTTTAATTTTTTTATATATATTCTTTAACAAAATAGTTTTAAATGGTTATCATAGGATATGGATTATCCTATGATAGCTATTTTATGGTAAACTCTGTTAGAGGTTTTGGAAACATAAGTGTAATTTCCAAAAAAATCATTAACCTACTTATATTTTAAAAACTCCTAACAGTCTTAAAAAAAAAATAGCTTCCATAAAATACCTATAATCTTTCTTCATTTTCCACATTAAATAAAAAAGTCATTAAATTTCTTTGGTTTTACGAGTATTATACACAAATTACGAAGGTTAATAAAGTCAAATTAAAAACAAAACACTAAAAATGAAATAATTTTATATGTAAGAAAAATTCATCTCTATAAAAATTTAATAATCAATTTATTGAGTTTGTCTGGCTTAAGAAAATTAAACGTATGTTTTTTACATTATTTAATAAAAATTAAAAATCATATTAAGAGTATCTCATAAATGCAAGCATAATTCATAATTGGATTATATTTTCATGAAGTATTTCAAAAATTTTACACTAATTAATTATGCAAGATAAATGGAAATTCCATTACAGTTTTTGACATCGTTTTTAATTTTCTTGGCATTATAAAAATTTAATTTAATTTAACAAAAATTCTCCGATTGAAATGAAATCTCTGTTGCAATCTTTTATTTTTTTATTATCTAATTGCTTCTGGATTCTTTTATGATTTCTGAAGGTCGTCGCATCTGTTTTTGATATTAAAAAAAATAATTTATGAAATTCGCAAAGTGCTCGATCTTCATTAATTATAAAGAAAAATTTCATTATTGTATAGAATATTTTTTTTAAATGATTTAAGACGCTTTACTTAATAGAATTTAAATTTATTATCGGAATACAAAGTGGTTTATAAATTTATAAAATGGATATTTTAAGATTTTGATTATCAATTGCACAAAAATAAAATTTCTTTAAAATATCAGTGATCATTTTTATTAAAATAAAGGTTTACAATATAAAGTAAAGCTTTAAATATATTGATACTAATAGTAACGATCTCCGATATGTAGTTATTGAGAGGATTTATATTTCAAACCAAAAGAAAAGAAGAACAGCAATTTATTATATATTCATTTAGTCAAATTTTTTTTAATGTACATTCTTCGTCATCAATCTTATATTCCTGTGAGGAAAATTTATTTTTTCAAATTTGCTATAAGGCTCGGACCCAACGTTAAAAATATATACTGAAAACTTACAACAGACTGAAAAAGTTACTACTATCACGTGTTATTATTTTGAAGTGGGAATGGTGCTTATTTAATGTATTTCCTTTGAATTTTTCTATATTTTTTTTCGATTTTAAGTCGATTTTTGACCTTTTCAAAGATCAAGGAGTAGGTATCTTTGGAGACCTTTTTGCCACTCTTTATGCGTTAAGCAATTGAATTTGAATTGCAGTTTTTAAGAAAACTCTGGGTTACTTTTGTTTTATTTTTACGGGTCCGTAACTCTGCAGTCCGTATGTGTTTACTACTAATTGTAAGTTGGAAAAGCAGTAATAAACTGCATTTTTTGAATTTTAGTTTTATTTTTATTCATTTAAAGACTATCCAGAACAAGGTTTACGTCTTTAATAAAGCTTTTATTGGATATATATCCGACATTAAAACTGTACCCCAAATGGAGTTTATTCCTAACCAGATATAATTGTTGGTCTCATCAGTCTTGACATAAAAGAACCTTCACTGTACCTATAATTAACTGGTTAAAATATAAGTAAGAGGACATTTATTTATTAAAGTTTTCACTGTATATATATATCTTCTACTGAAGCAGAATTTCAATTCATTAATTGTTGGATGTTCGATTTGGTTATATTTCCATTAATAATAATATTATACTTCTCGTAACATCATTGCATAGTAAAAAAAAATTAATACAACTTAGTTTTCATATTATAAACTTTCAGTGCAATTCTCATTGCAATGTTAATAAAATAACTTCTCATAATTGACACAGATCCCAACAAAACAAAAAAAAAAGAAGAAGCAAAAACGGTGCTCAATGGGCGCAGTAGTTATTATATACGTCAATGAAGCACACTTCCTTCACGAAATAACCCCTTTCTATTAAATCATATTAACTGAATGCAATGCAATGAATTATGATTATGATGAATATATTTCACAGATCACATTCTGTCAACTTAAATACATTTTACAATGAACAAGTAACTCATTTCAACTCTTTAATCTTTGTCGACTTGTTCAGCAAAAAATCCAACAGTATGAGTAAAGTGGCCGCAGCTACTGCAGTCGCCACTGCAACAGATGTTGAAGTATCTTTTTATGTTGCTGCAATGTCTGCAATGTCTGCAATATCTGCATTGGTTGTTGTTGTACTTGTAGTTGCTTAAGTTGCAATTTATTGGATGGTTTTTGCAATGCCTATTGGTGCTTTTTACAATGTTGCGGCTTTTTTTGTCTAAAGAAAATTATTGTCCACCCGCAACGAATTCTTAGATTTGGCTATCGTACTAGCGTCATCTGAAGACGAATTATTGGATTGGTCATGCGTTGCGGTGAATACGCATTTGCTATGCTGCGGATGCAAGAAATTGCATTTTTTCCATCTAAGCGCTTTAGTGTGACTTGTGTCTTTGATCTTTTGAATTTGTTGGTTGGTCTTCTAAAAAAAAAAGACCAATCTGCTATGGCGAAAGAACTCCTGCTTTTGATGATGTGAACATAGAACTTTCGTTACGCACGTTTGTTTGAAGATTTATATGCATATTTTTAATAATTAATATAATTTATTTTATGTATGATAACACACAAAAAATACATAACAAAAATATATAAGTTTTCATATATATTTTCTTACATATATATTTTTTCATAATATCTAACCAAACATTTCTATTGTTTAATTTTTATTCAATATATAAATTTGTAAACACAAACTCCTGATTACCTCGAACATACTGCATACTTATTAAACAAAAAAGCTTTAGTATATTTTTCTCAAGCAGATTTTCATTCCATTAGCTTAAGATACTTTTATTGTATCTGAATGCACACAACGTGATCCATTTTTTCTCATAATGCAATTTTGCGCATTCACTTGAGCAACAATAAAAAACGATACCAAAAAATCTTCAAGACATGTGTTAACGTGCCGAGACCACCAAAGGGGCCCTGAAGATTCAATAAAAGTTTTTGTTTCAGTTTTTTATATAAAAATTGTTTACATTTGCGCAACATTAAGAAAACTGCATAAAAATGTTAACAAAAATATTTATAAAAATTTCAAAATATTTTTTTTAGATTAACTGCATTCAATTTTAATTATTACAGAGAAATATTACGTTGTTTCAATAACTTTTTTTTAAAGTCTGTCATAAAACAATAAGAATATACTAATAATATGGCGTATAGTTCTTAATAAAAGTAGAATATTCTTACGTAAAATATCATACTGCAGTTAATAACTCATATCTGATAATGATAATCATAATTCTGCATTGTTTATCTGGGGAAGATTATTATTAAATTTTGCTGTTAAAAGCTTCCAAAATATAGTTCCACTTTTCTTCATTCATATATCCATGAGAATTGTTTTTCCATTACTGTTAATATGGTCCAAGTGTTTTTAAACCCTGAGTCACTCCATTATACGGTAAAACAATGGGCCAATAGGCCTAAGTAGATACTCTTTGGATCGCCGGTATAATCTGATCTAATATGGTCAATTATAGTAAGATGTCATGAAGATTACTACAATGCCAACTTCTAAAGGAATAGCTTTGATCAATGTAATGCATATATATTACGAAATATAAAGCTTGGAATAAGATGCAGGGTAGAGCAAACCCAGTCATTTGTGTTTTTAATTAAGTTTGGAAATAGTTACTACCCAACGAAATTTCTGAAAGAAAGCTCCTTTATTACTCTTATTGACGCCACGTTAATGACAAGCAATATCCCGACTCTGTCTCTAATTAAATTGCTAAGATTGCAATAATTCATAAGTACCTTCCGTCGTTTACATGAAGGTACGTCATTTGTAGCTATAGCTTATAGAAGTTCCTGTTGTTCCAGGTACTTGGGTATTGTATCTTGATCGATGGTTTAATATCCTTTCACTATTCCGCTTTATAAGCGAGTACTCTTCCACTTTTACCAAGATTTCTTCTTTATATTACTTCTTTATATTCTTTATATTAAAAATGGTGTTAATGAAATTAAAACGTACTATGGATAATATTTCCACTGCACTTATAGTTTGTTTAAAGTTATTAAAAAAATATGTGAAACATTTATAAAAACGTGAAATTATTTTATTTTAAGATATCATCATTTACATTACTACTATTTTTTCTTTCTTTCTCTTTACAGTTGATCGCGCCATGAGTCCCGCACAATCTGAAGACTCTGGTTTGGCACCCGAACGCGGAACCACTTACGCCACAATCACATTACCACGTGATAATGCACCCAATATGGGCATCACATTTGCAGGTAAGTTAAAAATAGTAACACTTCAAATCACTTTAGGCTCAGACTCATTAATCCCTTCCCCTAAAGTCAATGATCAATTTGTACACTCAATGTAATTGCAGTAATTAAACTTAAGTGATCGTTTCCTTCAGTAGCGGCAGATAAAATACCAAATCGCACCCTCAGTTAAATGCTACATTATAAAAATATTATTATAAAGATTTTTTCAATTTATATAAATTATATTATTTTGATGAAAATGATTTGATTTTGATTTCGGAATGATTTGTTTATTTCGAAATATGAGCCGAGCATTAGAAGTTGCGTGCGTTTTGCCTCAGGCGGCCACGCGTTGCGTCAACAAATTTTCAAAAATTTGACATAAGCCTTTGACATGCAAACAAGTATGTGCCTCGGCAGGGGAGGGATGGGCCTCAAGCAATTTGAGTACCCGTAGCAGATGTAATTAAGAAAGAATACGTTTAAAATATTTTTATCTATTATTAATAGGAAAAAATCTGACAACTTTTGTTGCATTCCAGCATTAAAATAATATTCGGGGAAATTTTGATGAAATGGGAAAACTTGTGTATACATGATTTTCCGTTGGATCATAATTGCTTAAAAAAATTTAAAACGAATGCTCTACCCTTTATTTTGGTGCGTATGTAATTATTGTACAGATTTGACAGCTGTCAATATTGATATATAGTCAGTAATGACTGTGGTTAGTTTAAAAATAATTATGTCGTAAGAGTTCTGAAAATGTAAATATAAAGTCTAAAAACATGTGGGATAGGTTAAGTGATTTCATTTTAAAAATCTAATTAAATATAAATTCATCAAATTATAATTATAAACTTTTTTTTTATTAAATAATGCATTAGAAAGTATCAAATTAGTGATATCTCGATTGACAAGATCGAAGATCAACCGCTATGAATAAGTAAAAGCAAAAAATTATTAGCAGCTTCAGTCAGACTCAGTCATTATAATGGACAATGTATTTCTAATCAATAGTTTTCCTTATCTGATTTTTTTAGCAACCTTGGCTGGATTTAGTTAATGTGTTGACCTATTTATAGAAAACTACTACAATTTATTTTTAAAATGATCTAAAATATGATTACTTTTAATATGAGAGCATCAGAAAAACCATAAAGAAATACGTAGCAAAAGGTTAAATTAAAATATTATTAAACTGAATATTATTAAGTAAATGTTTGAATTTGCTATAATATACTATACTATACTATACTATTAGCTATAGGATAAAAGTAGCACTTTTTGGGCTTACTTTCAAGAGCATACACGATATTTTGTTAATCTCTTTCAGAACACATTTTAATATCTGCTAAGTGACTAGTTCTTTATATATTCTCTTGGTTCTCAAAGTGGCGTGTACTACGATTCATTTATGGGGATTTTTGTAAACTAATTAAACGTTCATAGAAAACATTAAATAAAAAAAATCTATTATATATAGTGTGTGAAGTGGTTCAAAATATTTCAAGAGCTTTGCGTTGATCTCCAAAGTTATCGCTTTGTATATGCCATTGGCTTTTCTTAACAAAACAAAAGACTATCTTTTATATATGCATATAGAATTCGCAGTAACTTGCACAGAAACTCATTCATAGAGTCTTTTTGCAAACTAATCAATAGTTCATAGAAAAAGAGATCCATTATATTTAGTGTATAATCATAGAGTTATGGTGCCTATCTCCAAAACTCCTTATATGTATATGCTATTGAGTCTTCATTAAAAAATATAAGACTGTTTGCTGCATGTCTAGCATTTTTGAACATTCTAGACTATGCTTAATAATTCTAGCTTACTCTGCATTTATTTTTTGAGCATTTACTAGTGAATGCTATGCATGTAATCTAAAAAAAAAACATGAAGTTAATACTTATATGTCATTATTTATTTACATAATTATATTTTTATTACCTTTTTATAATAATTAGTGAACACCTTTGGTTTATTAATTCTAATTTGCGTAGGAGTTTATTCGTGAATTTTTAAGTATTGGATAGAGAGACCTGTGAAAGCTTTGTAGACTTATATTCAATAATTTTTTTGACTCAATATGAAACCTTACTTATATATATTCAATAACTATTTCTTGACAAAATATCTTTTTATGCCCAAACCACTCATTATTTGGGTTTAATAGGCTTACGTAGATTTTTATATTTATTATGTTATATATATGAATATAATTCAAAAATACTAATATATTTATTGGTTTTAACTTAAAAAGCTTTAATATAATATTCTATTACCTAATAGTAGTATGATGTAAAGATTCAGTTGAAATAAATATGAACAAATTTTACCATAAATTAAAAAAAAATTTTATAATTCAAGCGAAAAAATCATATTTCTTTGGAAATTGCTCATAAAAATTAATAAACTCTTAAGCTTCTATATGATTTATAACTTTTGCATTAAAAATATGGACTAGAAGATATATGTGAATAAATTTTTAATAATAATTGACAGCGCAAATATTTCTATATTGAAATGATTTATATTCGAAACACATAAACCAATTTACATTGTGACCGAAAGGTTTTCGGAGGTTCTCATTTAAAATTCGCGCGCTGTATATTTTTCGATATTTTAAGTTTATGTAGTTTGGCAGCACTGCCCTTAACTACATGCCAAAAATGAGCGCGACCTGTCAACAGTTCGTTTACGGCAGCTGTTGAAACCAGTTCACCTCAGTAGTGCGTTGCGAAAAAAACAATGGAAAAAAATATTGAACAAAGAGTTTGCATCAAATTTTGTTTTTCGAACGAAATTTCGTGTGCAGAATCGTTGCGAATGCTACAAAAGGCTTATGGGGAATCAGTTTTATCGAAAACTCAAGTTTATGAGTGGTACAAAGCCTTTCAGGACTGTCGTACGACCGTCGAAGACATGCCGCGTTCTGGACGACCTTCGACCTCTACCACCGACGAAAACATTGAAAAGGCAAAGGAAATCGTGTTCAAAAATCCTCATGTGAGTGTTAGAGAGATAGCACGAGAGCTAGGCATCGGTCGTGAGATGGCTCGTTTGATTTTGGTGGACAATTTGTGTATGCGACGTGTCAACGCCCGGCTTGTTCCGATTCACCTCAATTTGTTCAACATTATCAACGATTTTAAGGCCAAACATTCAATAAATACCATCGAACAGCCACCGTATTCACCTGATCTTGCACCGTGTGACTTTTTCCTGTTTCCCAACCTCAAATTACCACTCAGAGGAACGCGTTTTGAATCCATAGAAGACGTAAAACAGAATTCGCAGAGGGAACTCAAAGCCATACCGGAAAGCGCCTATAAAAAAATGTTTGATGGTGGAAGAAACGTGGCAATTGTATCGCTTTCAATGAGCATATTTGAAGAGAAAAATAAATATTGATGAAGATTAAGAATTTTGCGTTTTATTTATTTATGACCGGAAACTTTTCGGTCACAATGTATAGGATATATTTAAGTTTATAATGAATTCAGTATCTTTAATGAGAACACAATTTATGAAATTGAATAACAAAATAATTTAATATTTGTAATTAATAATTATATAAAAATAAAATAATATGTATATATATATGAATATATAATTATTTAAAAGAAAATAGTAAAACTATTTTAGAATATTAAAAAAAGTTAGTCAAAAGTCGCTCTGTGTATCTGTTATAGACAGTTTAGATTGTATTATGTTGTAGTAGGAGAGTGGAAGATTTTTCAACCATCTGGTATCTTTAATAATGCCTAATATATTTTGTAAGGAGACATTCATTTGCTTAAATATTCGAAAAAGTAATTGAATAATATATTTAATAAAGATTCAGCAAACGCTGGACAATGATCAAGTATATGTGAATTACTTTCTTCATCCTCCTCAATTCAATATTCTTTTCAGGTTCCTCAACCGACTAGATTTAAGCACTTTTAAGTAATTAAATTAGTTATATACGTCCAATTATATAATTAAAATTCTATTCAATATCCATTAATCATTTCAAGGCAAGCTAAAGTTTCCTAATTGCTACAATATCTATCAAAAATAAGCTAAAAATGATCAGGCTATACTGTTCATATATTTCCAAGTTTACTTAGAAAACTTCACTACCACTACTAAAACAAATTGTGAACTAAATATACTAAATATATATCAGAAGCATAGTAGATAGCAGCCAAAACATATTCCCGATTGACAACTTCAGAATCATATTAGAAATTGGAAAAACAGTAAAAATGAGTAAAAATGATATTAGATATATAATATGAAACCGTTATAATATCGCCAAGAGTTTGCAAAACATGCTAGTTGACTGTAGAAATTTTAATTGGATAATACATTGATTAATGAATAATACTTATAGTTTGGACGGGTAATCCTTAGTGTCGTTTTAATAAGCTTGAGAGTTTTATTAAATCATTCATTAGTTCAGGATGAATATTTAGGTGAAAATAGATACTTACAACCTATACATCGAATAGATAGATACCTTTTATTACCGCCCAGATTATGATAGAGTGGACAAGTAACATTTTTCTGTTCCTACTCCGATCTATCGAATATGTAGTCAGTAATTGCTGCAATAATTAGGTAGTCGGTAATAACGTGATGATGGTCACTACGAATTGAAATGTTATTATAAAATCTTTTTTCATATTTTTTATTAAAACTATTGTCGTGAAATCATTATTAAGACAGCAGTCTTCTCACTGAAATGGGATGCTCTGGTTTAATCCATCATTGAGTCTGACATACTATTGGATTTCAGTTCTCACAAGAAGAATTGCCTCGGTAAGGAACAACACAACGATGACGACATTACGCAACGGTCAATGATTAGACTAAGTTCATAAATGTTGTTTTTGAACATGTCAATAATAATACTAATAATAGTCATGAAACTGTGTCTAGAAGAGTTCCTATTGACGTGTTAGTTATATATATCATTTATAGCATACTTGTCATGTCATGTACATATATCATATATAATATGATTTAATTTCATAAATTTAATGATTAAATCAGAATTTAAGAATTTTTTTAATTAATATTAACTTTATAAAGAATTTTGTTGTGTTAAGTATCTTGTTTTTTTCTTTAAAACTATATTAATAGAATTCGGATGCACTATAATAAAAAATAATTCTAGGTTACCTGAACTAATTTTAAATTTTCTGAACAATTTGTTTTTATATCCAATATTAATAAAAATATTTTTATGATTATTTTATTGCTTGTTCGAACCAATATTATTGTTATTGAAGACATAGAGTGTGTGAGAGAAAGAGAGAGAGAGAGTGAAAAATATGTTATTAAATATATTTTTAGTGATTCCATAAAAACTTTAACATATCTTTTTATTACGTCAGTGTGGGTGTTTATTATCAACTAAAAATCAAGTATTTATATATATCAAAATGACATAGTATCTCTGTTTGGAATTACAGCATAAAAATCTTATTGCCAATGTACACGTACTCGTATAAATAGATGTGTGTATTTGGATATTGTACGCATGGATAAATGCAGATTCATACCATGAAAGCGCAAAATACATGTTGACTGCCAAAATAAATCATCTTCAGCATCTCCCCTAAAAACTAAACAACAACAGCAACAAATCATATTTATCTTATCTAACAAAAAAGCATCTATAATCTGCTGCAGATATATTTTTTATGGCATTATAATAATGATGTTATGATCTATAGCGTGTATGTGTGAGTGTGTGTCTGAATGTGGATTAGGCATAAATGAACTTTATGAAAAATTGAAATGTATCTATTGTTGTCGTGTAGAAATTTCGTATTTTTCTGTTATATTTTTTGGTTCCTTGATTTTATAGTAGTGACCAAATGTCTAGACTCTAGACGAAATTCTAACCATGCGTTGTCATTTGAAAAATTGCCACATGGCGCAAAGTATGAAAAATCGGCAGAGCCGGCAAAAATAAATAAAATAAAATTAAATAAATATAAAAAATTAAGAAAAATAAAACAAAAAATACACTAACTCACGTTAATGACAACTTTGGTCTACTTTTGAATATCGTTGTCATGAATATTATTATTACTATTTTACTTTATAAATGTTTTTATTTAATTTTTTTTTCTGTTGTATTTGCTTTTAGTTTAAATAAATTTGTAGATTTGATTTAAAACAGAAATTTTGGCAAGGAGCCATTATCATGCAAATAAAATAGTTTTTCTTTTATGAATGATTTTTTCCTTTGGTTAAAAAAAAAATATAATGAAAATAATGAAAAAAAGCGGAAATGAGATTTTTACTTAAAAATTAAGTAAAAAGTAAATGACTTTAAAAAAAAACATATTTTTAAAAAAATTAAAATAAATTTTTTTTATATTTACAATATTTAAATAACATTTTGCTAAAATAAATAAAAATATAATAAAAACATAGTTGTTTATACATTCATTATCATTAAATATTATAAACTGAATACTTAATAATATTTAATATTAATATTACTGTATATTTTTAAGCTTCGCGAGCAATGACACAACATCACATTTTTTTTCTATCTTAAATAAAAACATTTTCAAATTTAATAATTTAAGTTAAATTATAAGAAAAATATTATTAACATATTTTATAGTTCATTTAAATATTATTTATTACACATAAGTATCATTAACATATTTATACATAATTTTGAACACATTTAAGCTTATTTAAATAAAATTTAATTCTCAAAAGTTTATTGCCGCAAAACAACTTAACACACAAATTGTAAAAGTTTGTCGGTTTTTTTATTTATATTTATGCACTTTTACCTCACAAATTTATAACACTTCAGACCGCATCTCAAGTGCACTTAAAATTTGGATTCGTGCCTCCTTCATGCATTTATGGCTCATAAAAAGTAAACAAAATGCACACAGCAACTTTCATAAGTAAATAAACATTTCAATCATTTTTAATAGAAAATCCGTAATGCATTCTGCATATTACAGTGTATGCTTCACAAACTATTAAACTAAACATTTGTCTTGTTTATTTATCTATTTATCGTTATTTTTCTCCTTGATGATATTACAGAACGCAACGACCTTTCGTATCCACCTGTTATCGCTGCGCTGAGTCCACTGGGTCATGCTGCTGATTTTCTGGCGCCTGGTGATCGTATACATCAGATTGATGGCATCTCAACAATTGGGTTAACCAATCAACATATAATGAGCATGTTAAGCGGTGGTGATGGCAGTCCTGCTGTAATAGAAATCGAATATTCTTTACCCGAATACAGTGAGTAATCAATAAAAATTGTTTATAATATTTGTATCTATACTAGTATATAATGCTTATAAACATGTTGCTAAACATTTTCTTGATGTATATAAGGGTTGTATACATATTGAGTTTTTGAGTCCACTTACACTTTTACTAAATTAAATATTTATAAAAAAAAAATACTGAACAATAAAGATGGTGGAGTTAACTGGAAGCTAGTTAATTAGCATGAAGTGGAGAAAGAAAATAATTTTTTAATATATTTATATTTATTTATTGAATATCTATTATATCCAAAACGTTCTCTACAACTGTTACAATGTAAAATTTAATAGTGTATTCGATTGGTAAACCTGTGATAACCTTTTTATCGGGATTCACTTTTAGCTCAATTTTTATTTTCGATTGCTAAATCTGTATAACACTCGAGATTGATTTATAACACTCTAGATATTTTGCCAGAGTAGTGAGATTACATTGAAATTAACAGTTGTTTTATATGATGACAAATAAATTGTGATTTGTTTCGATATATGTATTTATGAAAAATATAAATATCTACTAATACAATTACAAACATATAAGATTACTCTAAAAAAACAAAATTCGACAGATCGAGAGTAAAACTAGATTGGATCCAGATTTACCAATCGAAAACGCCATAAGTATAATGTAATTTAGAATTTTCGGAATTATTAATAAAATTAATAAAATTATTAATAAAACTCAGAAAACACCTTTAATCAATCAAAATTAATTTTATTCTTTTTAAAAGAGTCCATTTTGGAAATTAATAATACCATGAAGTACCTAATCTAAATGCTCATATATTTTTGGTATATAGTTTGAAATATAAGGTAGTTTGAAACAATAGTTTTAATCGCAAATAGAAGAAAGTTACACGAAGCCATGATCAGACCATGACTACGGTGTTTTGTCTAAGAGTCTAGGTGCTCCGCGTCTTTTAAAAGACACGCTATTCTGTAAAGTTTTAAACCTTTAAAATATGGTAATAAAAATTAAAACTAAATATTTTATAGTCATGTTTTATGGTGACAGAAATCAGAATAGCACATTTTGCAAGAGAGACGGTAAATTTAGACCCTTAGACGAAACATTGTATACGTGCTTTAACGATTGCCTAGTGTAAAGTTTTCCTATTTCTGATGCAATGCACTTAGACCCTAGGACTAAATATGATTGCAAGTACTGAAATATATTAAAGTTATTTATTACAGCTTCTGTAATAATATTTTTAAGGGAACACAAGTTAAGATAGATCGAAACGCGGAGCACTTAGTTTCTGGACTGATCATAGCTTAGATTTAAAAGTCAAATCAAATATATTACGAAAGTATTTTTAAGGTATATTATATATTTAATATATATATTAATTAATTTTGTATTTTTAATATGCATATATTGAATATATTTAATATCGTTGCAGATATTACACTACATTTTAATAATAAAATAATTTATTTGTGTGAAATTATTATTAGACCAACTGAAAGCGATCTATATGTTATAGCTAAAAAACTGAAGAAACCGGATACATCTGCTTTATTGAATAAATTATTTCTTATTTTTGTCTAACACATTATATATAATTGATAATTGATTAATTGATAATTTGCTAAGGTCTGTTTTTGACGGATCGGATTAATCAAGGGTTTGTTGTGATATGAATAAGCAAAAAACTGGGAGATGTCTTTTTATAGTGCTGATAAATGTGAAAAGTAATCATAATATTTTTCGACAAGGAAGAAATTTATTTTAAAACCCAATTTGGAAGATATATAGTTTAGGTCATCTTATTTATTTTCTAGAAAATTGTACATATTTTATTGCTACAAATTTCCCAATAATAATAATTAATATAATTGTAATTTTTCTTTTTTAACAACCACGCAACAAAACTTTTCACGCTTTCACATCCGTCAACACCTCAACGAATCACCATGGAATGCACACATATCCGTCAAAATGAAAAATTGAAAAAATAAAAAAAAATATTGGAAAATTTATTCAAAATCAAAATTTGTGCAATGCAATGTTCTACTATGAAAATGAATCCAAAATATCACAAAAAAAAAAAACAAAAACTAAATGATTTTCTTCGGTTTGGTTGCTATTGAAACGTATAAACCGACAGTTTCCCAAAATAGTCTTTGCGTCACATCGAAATTGGCGCAAATCACTGTGGAACGCGAGAGCGGTTGCCTTGGCTTAACGCTACGTGGCGGCGGTGACTATCCACTGATCGTAACTCATGTACGCCCGCATGGGCCTGTTTACAAGACGGGACGCATCAAACCCGGCGATCGTTTGCTGCGCGTTGATAATGTGAGTATGGGGTAGAGAGAAATGCAATTGCACGCAAAGGACGGGCACTATAAGTATGCATATATATTTGATATATTGCACCTGTTGCATATTTAGCGATGCATTCGTTTCCAAGTTTAATAAGAAAATTATTTATTTAAACAATAATTTATAAGTAACATATTTTTTTGCCACTTAGGTTTCGCTTATTGGTAAAACTTTGGCGGAAGCGCAACAAATTATCAAATGTGGCGGACACATTTCCGGTTATACAAATCTGACAATTGAATATGATGTATCTGTGGTGCAGAGTGTAGAATTTTCTATGGGTCCCTTGCTTATAGAGATTGAACGCCCAATGAATGATAAACTGGGTTTGGTATTGTGTAATTACTCGAGTATTACACATAATGATCACACAAAAATCGATGAAGTGAGTCCGGCGAGTGTTTATATTGCCAGCATTTTACCGGCTAGCATTGCAGATAGGTGAGTCTTCAAAATTCGTTGAATTTTTTTTTTCTATTTGAAAAATGTATAAATATTTATTTAGTGTAATTATTTGTTGCTGAGCAACTAAAATAAAAGTTTTCTTCCTACAATTCAGTTCAATGCTTTTGTAATTGTTTTACGAGAAAAATTTGGCTTTTACTCAATTAATTAAAATAAATTGGTTAAGAAGTATTTCTTAAATGTTTATGGCATGTTAAAATATTAAAATTTTAATAGCGCATCATTAATCTTTAAGTCTTTAGTATATTCAAAAATTATTTTAAAACTAATTAAATAATCAGAGTATGTACCCAATGTTTCCCTAGGAACGCAATGAAATGAAGAAGAAAAAAAATGATCAGAGTACAATACAAAAATGCATTTTGGTAACCTCACAGACGTTAACCTAACCTGTGTGAGGTTATCCTGACGTAAAGCCATTTTTGTTTTAGGCCTCACATCAGTTCTGTTGATCCTTGGTGATATCAGTTCTGTTGATCCTTAGTGATATTAAGTGTAGCTTAAGCTCAGTGTAGATCTTAAGTATGCATGTTGGAAGAAAATAATATTTATAGCAAGCCTGCATTAAATTATGTTTTAATGGTGGTCCCACGGACTTATTCAGGCATATTACTTGGCTGTGTTATTATATATAAATAAATAGATTCAAAACTATTTAGGTACTTAGCTTTAGGTATTCTTTATGTAGCAGTATTATTGCTACGTAAGCTCCTTTAGAAAGAAAGTCCCTCGCATGTTAAATCCTTATTACTTTGACGTGAAGTATTTTTTTTATCTTTATCATAGTTGCAGTAAGCTCCCTAACAAGGGAATCTAAAAATCGTTTGATGTATTAATCATAAATCGTCTTCTAATATCCAAAAATAACATTTCTTATTAAATATGTCTTCTATTTTGCAGATGCGGCGCTTTATCAGTCGGTGATCAAGTACTATCGATCGATGATACGATTATTGAAAATTCTGCCTATAGTCCAGATGAGGTAATGACTCTTCTGGATAATACTACAATACGTGGTTATACGCAAATGCAAATAATGCCTGCACACGCATTGGCTAGAAGAGGTAAGCTATATCACAATATTTTATGACATTAAAAAATATCAAAATTGACTCATATACTATTTTAACTTATTATTATAAAAATCATAATTTTTAAATTATAAATTTATAAATCTTAATAAATTTAATGGCTGGAGCTGATTATATGTGAAACAAATGTATGTTGGTTAGTATATAGTATTATTAACCCATCCCAAAACCGACGAGCATACCGGGCTAGCCACCGTGCCATGAGCTGCTTCTGAGAGCGTCAAAACTACCAACAAGCAGGCACAACAGATATGTAGTCCTAAATTTGCGGTTTAGGAATATGACAAAGAGATTACTAAATAGAACTATAAAAAAATAGACGAACATAATTTATAATCTTCAGTTTCTTCTTCTGTTTCTGCTGTTGTCGTAAATGTACAATTACTAGTTTCACAAATATAAAAACCTTTAGGATCTATTTGATCAAACTTTTTATCAAGCTCACAAGTGGGCAAAAAGCTTTACATCATGTAGTTTATGTTAGTTGATATTTATATAAAGAAAGATGGAGAGCAATATATATAATATCAATGGATGAGAATACTTTAGCGAACAAGTTGTTTGAAGCGGTGGTTGGAATAAAAAGACATAGAGATAGACTATGTTTCCGATAATCAATTGAAGGGAGCACCAATCACACATGCTTAATGAGCTCATATATGAATCCATACACTGCGTATAGCAGAACCATGCATGGAGGTAAGGAGTGGTGCTTTAGACTGAGATCCGATAATGAGTTATTATGGTCATATATGTAAGTAAGTGTGTAGCGGTCGTATACGTATAACCCTACGCATAGTTGTCTACTTGCCAACTATTCTTATCACACTATATACGTATTACTCTTAAGAAACGAGAAGGTATATCTCTTTAAAAGCCTACCACTGGAAATACTGCAGTAATTATCTCATAAATTTTTTTCCCAGTTTTACTATTCAGTAAAAGTTTCCTAACTTTAATTGTTTTCATACAATTTGATTCTGTAATTTCTTATTAAAACGTTAATACGTAATAAAATTGATTAAATAAATTAATAATGAAATGTTATGTTCACATAACAACTTAGCCTTTCACATTTCTGAAGAAATACTCCATTTTCCTACTACACCCACTTGCATATTAATTTGCAATTGTCTGTCAACGGGGCAACAAAGTGTTGACGACTGAAATCATCTCTGCCTGTTGCACTTGATTTGTGAAAGCTGTGGAAGATAAATGCCGCTCCTCTAAGGAGTTTCACTCAAGACCGAAACTGAATGTTGCAGTTATGCAGATTTTTGTTGTCATAATTTGAATAAAAAAAAAAAACGTTCCTTAGAAAAATGGTTTTTCGGTTTATAAGCAAATTTGAGTGACAGACGACATCATGTTTTATGCATTCTTTGGCACATTCAGAGCTTGTGGGGCGCCTAAAGGGCAAACATACAAACAAATTTATAATTTGTTTGTTTATTAAGAAAAAAAAAATAATAAATTAATAATGCACAAAATTATTTATAAGCTTATAAATCCAAAAAAAATACAATAAATACTATAAGAAAATTGCAGATATTGTCGTCAAAATTATATATAAATGATTTTTTACGATGACAATAAGTTTTTTCTTAGAAAAATGTGTATGTATGTTTTAAGTATTATTGAAAAATAATACTGACAAACACTTTGTGAAATTAGTCAACAAATATCGGCGAAATGACCGAAAGTCATAGAAGAGTTCATGAAAATTTTTTCAACGATTTATTCATAAATTTTATTGCTTCGAAAGATATTTTTGTGAAATTATAAAATTTTTAAATAAATTTGTTAAATAAAATTATTTAATATTTGTTAAATATTTAATTTAATCTATTTGAGTAAGCACTGATCTAACAAAAAGAATTTAGTCTGATTTGTTAGTTGTTTCGCAATAGTGTGGGAGGCTATGAAGTTTCAATTGAATAAAATTATAATACTCAAGAAAAATGAACTGTTTCACATATCTTTCTGTCTAATTGTTTCTATCTCATTATAAATCTTATACAAATAAAAAAAACTACTTAAAAATTGGCAAATAAATTTATATCTCATACTAACCCAAACGCTTTTACTTTAGAAATTTACTCGAAAGTCGTTGGTTGTTTCGTTTTTGTGGAGACAAAGCTTTATTTGCTGTTTTAGTAGCGTATAAGTCCCTAATTTTTACTAACCACAATAATCCAGTAAATGGTTTAAGTAGTCATGCTACTTAATATAATATACTACAACCCACATATAAGATTTAAGCCGATCAACTATACATGTTGATTTTCATATGTGGTATCAATATGCTCTTCAGTCTATAAACTTACATAGAGTGGAAGGCATTCCAGTAAATACCATAGTGAAAGCATTTTATAGGATGCCTTAATGAAAGGCAGACCAGTACATCTGCAGAAAATGTGTTCAGTTGTCTTTACTACTTTTTTAAGCTCTAATTACCGGAGTCGTGGTTGAAAAGGATACTTAACTTTTCTGCATAGATACCTATGTAGTGACTTCAAAACCTTTACAAGCTTAGCTTAATCGATTGTTTTGCTACACAAACGGCCAAACGGTGCTCTTTAGTTCATCTACTATGCTCCACGATGGTGCTCTATAGTTCAATCGAAGTAAAGAGCATTTACTTCCATAGTGGAATACTTTAATCAAGTTAAAGTAGGGCATCTGTAGAAGATGTGTTCAGTTTTCTTTATTATTCAGCATCGACACCTATCATCTAGCGAATTTTTAAAACCCTAACAAGCTTTGCTAAATCGTTCTGCTATCCATGCGATGCTCTTAAGTTCATCCACTATGCTCTTTACTTCATAGACTTCCACAGTGCAATGTTTTAATCAAGATAGACTAGGGCACTTGTGGAAGATATGTTCAGTTCTCTTTATTTTTCACTATTGACTCTTATCATCTAGTGACTTTTCAAAACCCAAATCGATCGTTCTACTAACCTCGCGGGGTTTAGTTTGTATTTGTTTATAATAAAATTTATTCATTAAATTAAATTTATTAATTTTAATTATTAATTATTAATTTTTTTAATCTCTATTATATAATTCTATTATTGTTTTTGTTTTATAGTGTGTAAGTTTTTTTGCGTGCGGCCTGTCATAAATTGAAAAACATTTCACATATTTTATTTAAGCGCCATTAAAGACACAAGGCTAATGTGTATTTGTTGAGAAGTTCAAACTTCATTATTAGCGAAAACATAATTATTAATAGCAACATTAACATTTGTGACTATAACAATACTGCAACAACAAACAGTTGAGCAATAATCGCAACATTCTGAGTTATGTCAATATCAGTTTGTGACATTTGTCGATCGTAAAATACATTAAAAGGGGAGCGCTTGGCCAGCTAATGAAATCAAACGATCGAGGGAGGCTGCTGATTTGTTGTTGTGTCGGCCCGATTTTAAAGATTGTGTTGAGTATAATTAGTAAAGTCTAATATGAATGTATCTTTGTCAATGCGTTGGACATGTTACCATATTTAATGTAATCGGCGACACTTAGTCAGTTGGGTTTTATGTGATTTGCTATTTTTAATTTCAAACATTAATTTTTCTTTTTGTTGTTATGGCTTTTGATGGATTTCATTTGGATGTGATGGTGGAATTATTCTGATTTATGGAGAAGATTGAGTGGCTTGGCTAGATTTTCTTATATTGCGAATTTTGTTCTGGATAAGTTTTAGTACAATTTATTTGATCGGTTATTAAGGACTGGTTAATTTTAATACCGGGCACAGTTTCTAGTAATCATCATTTTTTAATAGGTCTTGTAGATTAATTGTGGTATTATAGTATTTCTTTGTGTATCATAAATTATCGAAAGAGAGAATATCCAAGTAATTTATAATCATAAATAATCCAGATTGGTCAGCAGCTTAGTAGAGGTACAGACCCCACGTAGACTGCCTGTAATCAACGTGGAGCTTTTACTTCTTAATGTACATTTATGTAGTTAAATTCATGAAATTTCCGGTAGTCAAGGAAACTGAGTCCAGCTAACCATGTAGAGTTAACGTTGTAGTTCATCATGTAGACCTAACATTTGGTGATTACCCTAGACTCGTCTATAGTCAACATAGAGATTTTTCTCATTAATGTCAATTTATTTAGTAAAAATACTACTATCAAACTTAATTAAAATTTTTGTGGACTTAAAAAATTAAACATATTTTTTCTTATAAAAAAAAAATATCAATAATAGAATCAAAAAACTTCTTATTCGGCGTTGACATTTAAACAAATTTTCTCTCTAAATTTGGAAGCTAAAGATCAACATTCGACTTGTGCACAAATTAACACTTCCGACAGGAACTTGATGATCTTTCGAGTATTTCAAAAAATTAGACAAAAAAAAATTAAAAAAATTTAATTTTCCCCTTTTCTTCCAAAAAGAATAAAGAATTTTATAGATTTGTATTGAGGTATTTATTAGCTGCCATTGAGTAATATTTTCCAAAATCTGTTTGCAGCTTTTCTGTGGAATTTTCTGGGGTATGGGCACACTTTTTAACTCTGAATTTTTAAAAACAAATCAAACACAAAAAAAAATATCAAGAAACAATACTGAAAAAATTATAATAAATATAATTTATATAAATATAAAAAAAAAAAACTGTAAAACCTTTAGAAACACATAAATATTTTTTGGGTACGCGTGAGTGAACACTTAATTTCCATTAAAAAATCTGCTGCATCCGAGCAGTTGAACAACGAATCTTGGGGGAATACCTAAAAATAGTCACACTAAAATATTGAGCACACCATATCAAAGTGATTTTCATCTAAACATTTTCCATATTTTTTTTTTTTGTACTTTTAGGTCACACAACTCTCGGCAGTCCAAAATACGGCTTCAGTACGCTGGAATCGCGCAAATCACGACAACGACAGCGTTTTGTGCGCAAAAGTTCGCTACCACTCGAAAGCGGTGGCAATAGTAGCGGTGGCAGTAGTGGGCCAGGGAGCAGTGCAAGCGGTGGTAGCAGTGGCAGCGCTGGTGGCAATAGTAGCACATCCGTTGTCGGCACAAACGCTTTGCATCACACTAGCAATATGGGCATTTGTCGAGCTGAAACATTTCCGGTATTATTGGATTGCAGTCAAGGTTCCGGTATTATTTTAGGACCACAAACACCATGCGGTCGTGCCATAACAATAGCACAGATTATGCCCGATTCGGTGGCCGATCGTAGTGGTTGCATACAGAAAGGCGATCGTATTATAGCCATTAATAAAATGTACAATTTGGATGTACAGACAATGCGGCAGTTGTTGTGTGATATTGTACCGCGTCAACAACATTGCGCCGCAAATTGGTTAGAGTTGGAAATTGAGTTTGATATGGCAGATTCTGTGGTGCCATCTAGCGGTGTTTTTAATGTGAAATTATTGCGTGCTGGCAAGGCCGGTTTAGGTATTACTGTAAATGGTGCTAGTCATGGCGGTATTGCAATTGCAGATGTTAAACCAGGTAGTCCAGCGCATCGTATAGGCACATTACGTGCTGGCGATATTCTATTAGCGGTAAATAATCATCCAGTGCAACATTTTAATATTGATGCACTGCTTAAGGATGGGTCTTGCAATGATTTCACCACATTGACTGTTAAACGTGTGATGTTGCCAGATTTTTTGTTTGATGCACAACAAAAGATGCCAAATCATATCTACAGCAATTGTCCAGCCAGTTCTAATGAACATGATTTATATAGTAGCGCCTATGTGACTGGTGGAACCAAATATAACGATTGCATTTCTATAAAATCTACAACACCCCAGCCTGAGTTTTATCGTGGATCGAGTATGGATGAACCCGTACAAATAAGACATCACACGCATCTAAATACAAATACGTGGAGTCCAAGTGCTGCTATGGGACGCTCATTTGCAGCACAAAACACACAGAGCTTAACTACTGAACTGCCAGATGAGGACAATAATTTCACTGATTATGGAGGCTATGATTTGGATCGCTATGCAAGGTAAGCTTTATATATGTTTATATTACTTACACATGCCATGTATAAGATTGCCAAAACTTTAAAAACTTCTATGTCTATGGTGAGATAAATTATGGCTATTGAAAAATTGTATAATATCTTATGGTTTTAAGTCTTATACCTTAGTCGGTATTCAATACAATGAACGCCATGCCGACAACTGTACTTTTTTCATGGAAATGGAGAAGCAAGTTCGCATAAGCTATCGAGTTTAGATTTAATTCGACTAAGAAAAATAATTCTAATAATTCTAATAAGATGTTTGGATTGCTTTAAACCTTTACTAATCTTCTTATATTCTCTTTCAGCGTTGATTGCTCTGCACTGCCACCACCAATGGAAAGCAAAGTTTATGGCTCAGCTGCGAGTTCTAGTAGTAAAAGCAGCAATACAGGAAATCCACATCAAGTTATCTTCACAGTACGTCTCGAACCAAAAGGTGGATTATTGGGTATTACACTGGCTGGTAGCGAAGATATTAGTAAACCCATTACAATAAGTGGAGTTATAGAAGGTAAAGAAACTAACTATATTAAAAAATAAATATAAATAATATATTAATATTTTGTCTTCTGCAACTAAGGTGGCATAGCGTATAAAAATGGACAAATAAAAACTGGTGACCAATTGTTGGCTATAAACGATGACATAGTGCAGGGCATGCCACTCTCACATGCCACTAGTATTTTACAGAATCTTGGTGATTTTGTAACTTTAAAAATTCTGCGTAGCTTGGATTCGCAAAATAATTTTGGTACCAATTTAGATACAGCAAATATGCCACAGCCGCAAGCAATTTATGCCAAAGTGCAACGTAGACCGCGTAGTCCTTCATCGACCACGGACACTACATCCACAAGTGGCAAGGATAACAAACATCGAATATTTCATGTTACTTTGTACAAAGACAAAGTATACGATGACTATGGTTTCTCAGTATCCGATGGCTTGTATGAACGAGGCGTTTTTATAAATCGTATACGCACTGGTGGACCAGCGGATCTGTGTGGTATGCTAAAGCCTTTTGATAGAATTATGCAAGTGAGTACTTTGTCTATATTTTTTAGTACTTTTACTAATTCAAAGTATATCTTTTTTAAAAAAGGTGAATGAAATGAAAACACAGGACTTCGATTGTTGTCTGACAGTGCCTTTAATTGCTGCTGCTGGTGACAAAATTGAAATGATAATACAACGTACGGAACCGTAATAACTAAATGATTTTATCGAGTGCCTTAAATCTTATTTGGTTTGGTATTAAATTGTATACAAACATAGTTTTTTTATACAAAATTTTTGTACCAAAAAAAGTTTTTTAATTTAAGTTTAACTGTAATCCAACTAATTTATGCCAAATATTACTCTGAAGTAAATTAAAATTAGTTTTAGTTTAATTTAAAAACTGTAGCTAATAAGTCGTTTTTGATGTGTCATAGACCATAAGCCAAATGAGTAAATAATTATCAAAATAGTTTTGACAGAAACATAATTTATTTTTAATTAATTTCTTATAAGAAATAATTTTTTTAATTAATTTAAAAGCAAATTTTTGCCATATCGACAATAATACGGAGAAATGTAACTTTGAAAAATATTAAATATATAATATTTTATTTCATAAATAATATTTCATATTTATTTATCCACTTATATGCCTTATTTACCATTTAGTATATATAAAATATTATATAACGTATATATTTAGAACTGTATTTACTTACATGCCACCATTAATTAACTATAATAACTTAGTAAGAAAATTTTACAAAAATTGTACTTTGTAAATTTTACATTTTTCACACGAGTTATTTAGACAAAGTATATCTTAAATAAAAGATTTGTTAAAAAAACTTAAAAAACCAATTAAATTCCTATATTTTTGAAAATAAATATGGTATATATTTCTGGGTTTACATGTACTGATCGCCAATTGGATGGATAGATCAGTTGCCATCTTCTCTTGGAAAAGTGAAGAACGAAGCAATACAGAGAGGGCAAAATCTAATGAAATAGATCATCACAATGAGAAATATGCATTTATAAAGAAAACGATGTTCTATGATAAGCAAAGCCCTGGTAGAAGAAGAATATTATATAAGCATACAGTTTGATAGACCATAGAGTAAAATTTTTTTCCAGATAGTTACCAGGAAAAAGGATAATAGGATGGCCGCATATAAGATGACTGTATGGAATCAACAAAGAGTTACGAATATTAGACATAAGTACTGCTAAAAAGAGAGCGAAAAGTCATCAAGAATATATGACTATCACACATATGACTATCTTTAAGGACTGCTATACCAAATAATATACCAAAGTATATATTTAAAAATGTACGGCTACTTCCAAGTTTTTAGAAACGCGCTGTGTTCTCAAGTCGTTGAGGAGAAATATGTTCAATTCAGTTCATTCATCCATTCATTATAGTATATAATCACAATCTGCAAGCATACCAAACTACTTTATCAATTGTCATTATAACTATATATAATTATACATAATATTAAACTTTCTAGAAGAAAAGTTTGAAATCATCAAACAGAATCTACAATAATGTCTTAAATAACTATAAATTGAAACTAATGGAAATAACTGACGTCATAAAGTTATCAACAAAATGTGTGGGCATTATTTTATATAAACATTTGATCATGAGAAAAAAATCTGTAAGCTTTTCTCATTCCTCTTTCCCATTATTACTGGAATGAAGTTTCCACATTTTGCTGTGGAAATCTTCTCCTTTCATTCCTAAGAGTTGGTTTTAGTGGGTTCGAGTCTCACACTGTGGCTTGCGATGCTTTTCACGTACTGCAAAAGAAAAAAGCTGTAAGCAAAGTAGGTATCATTTCTGTTTACTGTCGATCAAGATCAGCAACGCGTTGATAATTTCAAATCCTGTTTAAATATATTTAAATAAAATAATAAGAAATTTGTGTGATTTAAGATCTAGTTAGTCAAAAAAATGTGCAACAGCTGGTGTTCGACATTATTTTAGCATAATATAGCGGTATTATATACTGGGTCTACCTAATCATTTTTATTATCATCATATAGCCTTTTTGATCCATCGTTAAATATAAAACATTTTTAGACGTTCCATATTTTCTTCGTCGTGAACTATGTTTCTCTATTGTAGTTGGCCATCTTTGTCTTGGAGTCATTGCTCCAACTTATAGATTTTTGTTTGTAAATACTTTTACATTTAATTATTGTGACTTCTCTTACATTAAGACTAACAATAAGACTTAAAATCTTATCAATAATTACATAAATTTCAATATTTTATTTTAAGTATACATTATAAATTAAAAAATAAGGTAAGTAAACCTTACATCACGGATGGATGGTCTTATATATTGTGGGTTGTAAAAAATCGACGTTTGCCAAATTTGAGAATGAGGTTTACACATTAACCTTTTTTTTTAAAAAAATTCCTTTAAAATATGGCTATACATTTTTTAAAAGCCTCCAATCCCAAGCTAATTCTCCAATATATTTTATAAGTTTATTGTCGGGTTATCTTAATAACATTAGAAAAAATTAATTTTAAACATATTGTATAATATATAATTCACAAGAATGTTAAATTAAACATTGTATACGCTAACAAATTAAAATAAAATAAAATAAAAAAATTTTTTAAAAGAAAATTTTGATTGATTTTTTAGATCCGTTCTGACGAAAGAAACTAAATTCTTGATATGTATTAATGCTGTCAATAGAGAGTTTTTTAATGAACAGTAGTGAATTGCAACAACAAATTTTTTTCTTACTTTTTAATTAATCGATCATACAGCTGTTTTAAGTATTGCCAAATACCTATCGTCAGTAGCCTTGAAATTGTTTCTTAAATTTATTTCGTAAATAATTTTTTGAGACTACAAGTACTAAGAGTTGATATTGTACCCTGCCAAATTTAAAGCTTAGAGTCAGTGTTGATTATCCAATTGACTCAGAGGTGTACTTGACTTGTATATTTGAACTTGGAGTTTCGTAAATTTGATGTGAAAGTTCATTAATAAATTCTCTCGCCGTGTTATATTAGAACGAAATCATAAACCAGCTGTAGAAAAATTAAATTTATTAATTGAGATAAATTGAGTTAAAAATGATTAGTAATTACACTAATATGTAATACTGGCAAGAGAAATAATTTTTTTGTTGCATTTTTTTGTTTTTATTTTTTTTAACATTTACTTTAAATTAATACAATAAATTAAAGATTTGCCAAATCACAACAAAAACTAATACAATCCCAGCAGTAGTAAGACAGTAATAGGAAAAGGTATCGAGTGTGAGTATTGTTTGGATTAAGATTCTTTTATGAAAGTAGCTAACAAAACTTAATTCTAAAACTAAAATATGCTTAGAACTACTTAAAGTATTTCTCAGTTGCCAGTATCAGCCCTCTTTACAAAAATACTTGGGTCTCGGCTGTGTGAATAAAAATATGTAATTTATATATTTTTCATTAACAACTTTATTTTTATACCCTTAACCGAAAAAGTGTAAAAAGGATGTTAAGGTATGTTATCAGCTGGTCGTGGAATTAAGTCCAGTTTCTTAGTTTCTAAAGAATTCAATTAAAAGTTTGCACACATACTTTTCGGAAGTGGATCTTGATCATTTATCGGATTAAAGAAAATCGGATCACTATATTCTATAGCGGTCACATAAGCAGAGCAATAGCTTTGCTTATATGAGTTTTGTTCGCTTTCAATAAAATTATTCAAATAACACATAATATAGAGTGGAATTATATATATATGTATATACAAAATAATAATCACTACGGATTAGATTTTAATATTGCTGCTATATAATTGTTAAATTTAGATGCATTCTTTCTTAGAAATAGTTTTGTTTTTTTTTTGTTATATATATTTATATAATATTTTGTTATATTTACGAGGGCTGTTTGATAAGTCAGTGACTTTTTGAATTTCCCACGCAGTTATTTCATATGCAACAGTGCTATCATCAGCTGTAATCTACCAGTGGGCAACTTTTTAATTTTGAGCAAGCTACGTCGTTCAGTTAATGTTTGATAGCCGTTCAAAGGAGACATCCTCGTGAATTTTTACGAAAATGGAAAAAGGTGAATTTCGTGTGCTGATTAAGCATTACTGGTCAAAATTCACGAATAGGGATACGAACTGCTACCCCATTCAGTATATTCTCTAGATTTAGCCCCCTGCGACTATTTTTTGTTTCCAAACCTTAAGAAATGGCTGGGCGGTAAGAGATTTGAGTCGAATGAAGAAGTCATTACCGAAACAAACGCGTAGTTTGAGAGCTATGAGAAAACCTATTATTTGAAGGGAATAAGAATGTATCGAGCTAAAAGGTGTTGATGTAGAAAAATAAAATGTTTATTTGCCGTAAAAAATTTGTTTTATTCAAAAAGTCACTGACTTATCAAATCGCCCTCGCACATAAAAGTAAATACAAAGTTGTATTCATATTATTCTAGGTATAGATATAGCTGCTGTATAAATGGCCGACTCAGAATGAAGTTTATATTTGAGAATTTATAATTTATAGAATTCAACATGTGTATTAGAAATGGTATTAACTGTGATAATAGACTAAGATTTACATTTAGATCGCATTTAATCCGGCGATTTAGGAACATTATATATATCGAAATATTTTTTAGTTTTTCAATATATTCCGTTCTAATTTAAAATTGAAATATCTGTTATGGATACCTAAAATGATAACGAATGGTTTAGATTTGAATGTAGTCGAAAACTGAAACTTATATTTTAGTTTCATTTTTATTCTATATTGTGGCAGTGCCATCTAGAGTAAAACCTATCCCAATTTTAAGAACTAAAAAAATAATAGAGTTAATTTAAAAAGAAATTTACTAACTTATTCAGTTATTGAGTCAAGAACTCTTATTAGTAGTAATATATATCATAGTAAGTATATGTTATTACATATTATATCATATAAATGAGACCTTAATATAGATTCAAATTTCTGTGTAAAGGGTATCGCAGTTGCGGCTAAGTCAAAGCTTTATTTACTTGTCAGTTTATTGAAGTTCTAAGAATTTGTAGTACCAGCCCCTATACTTATATATAATAAAGGTTAATAATATGTATAATAGTACATCACACTCTATTTGTTGTTTACATATTTGGTTTTATAAGATATTTTTAATAAAAACAATAGAAAATAGTACGTATATAATTATAAAAAAATATTTTTCTACTAGTATTACTGAGCTAAGCATTTTATTGAGCAAAATATTTACGTGAAAATGACGCTTGTTTTCCAATGCAACAGATGTGTCTTCCGTCATAATTCGGAATAAGTGAGTATGTTTACATTTGAATATTGATAACATACCCACGAGTTGTTATTCTTTATATAATATACATATATGTATACAAATTTCGAATATACTATATATTATAATACAT